CATACAATTGAGTGTGCAGATGTCATACTATAAAGCTGTATACCTGAAATTTATGTAATGTTATAAACCAATTTAATCTAAAAGATAAAATACTCAAAAATAAAATCAACATGAAATGAGACAAACCCTACACAAGAAAAAGCTTACCCTGAAAAATACAGAAATACATTTGGACCAGTGGAAACACACTTTTTGTACAGTAATAGGATAAATCAATATTACAATGATGTTAGTTTTCCCTAAATTAATTACAAATTTAATGCGATACATATAAAAATTCCAAGTGTTTTGTTTTGTTTTGTTTTGTTTTGCTGGAGTTTTGCACGAAATTTTACAGTATTTAATATTTAATGAAGAAAAGTCTAAATAAGAAAAGTGGATTTTAAAATATATGGTAAGGTCTCTATAAATAAAAATGTCATCATTATATTGCCAGGCACTTTGAATACACTTGAAAGCCAGAACTAGGTGCCAAAATGTAATGTATATGATTATTGTGGATTCTCAACTTACTGAAAATGATGGACTTTATAAAAATAGTGCTGGGACAACTGAATAACCATTTGGCAAAAGATGAAATTGAAAGCATACCTCACACCATACACAATAAATAACAAATGAATCAGATCTGTACATAAAAAGTGAAAATATGTAAATGCTAGAAAAATGTCAGAATTCCTCTATAAGTTGGGTTTTGAGAAAGGCTTTCTAATTATAACTCAAAATCGAGAATAAAATCAAGTCTTGATAAATTCAAATACTTTTTTAAAAAACCTTTATGACAAGCCATAAACAAATCAAAAACCAAATGACAAAGTGGCAGAAAAATAATGTATCTTATTAGACTGATATCATTACTATACAAAGAACTCTTAAAAATTGAGATAGAAATGACAAAATATTTAAAAGATGGACAAAATACATGGGGCAGTTTGCCAAAATATTATGAAAGGTATTCAACTTGTAATTAGTAAAACTCTAAACTGCCCTTAGAAGCCATTTCTCACTTACCAGATTGGCAAAAATTCAAAAGTCTGACAACGAAGGTTTTAGAGAAATTCAAGTCAATAGGAATCTCATTGTATTGGCGTGAAAAGGAATTTTCCTGTAGGGTAATGTCTAACAAAACTACACTTATCTACTCATTATCGACTCATTAATTCCACTTCTAGAAATCTACTCTGAAGATACACCTCTAAAAATAAAATATAAACACAAAAGGTCACTTATTTTAGCATTATTTTAAATTGTAAAATATTGGCCGAAAAACTGGTACACAATGGAGTACTATGCAGCCGTTAAAAAGGCGATAAAATCTCATATGGAATGATTTTTTACATATACTAAGTGAAAGTGCAGAAGAGTATATATGATATGCTACCCTTTATGTGCTAGAGGAGGGAAAATAAAATATACAGATATCTACTTATTTTGCATAAAGAAACAGGAAAAGTAAACTAGAAACTAATGAAATTGATTGCATAAAATGGGTGAGAACAGGGTGGGAGGGATTAGAGGCAGCGACATTTCTCCAAATACATCTTTTAATATAGGTTTTACCTTATGTTAATATATTACATATTCAAAAAATCAACAGGGATGGGAGAAAAAGTAAAACCCTAAAGTTTAATACAAACAAATGAATCTAACTATTTAAAATAAATAACATAACCATTCTGAAGGGGGAAAATGATCAATCTAAGTAACTTTTGAATATAGTTCTTAAGTCTAAAATAAAAATAAATAAATGAAATTTGAAATCTACTTGGTAGGTTTTTTTACAATCCCCAAGCTTTTTTGCTCATAAAGTTGAGCAAATGAGACACGTTTGATATTTTGAGAAACAGGGGTCCCCCTGGGAGAACGAAGATACAGTATGGATTAGGAGAAGGCAAGAAAGAACACTTCAGCGCGGGGTTGAAATTAGAGGTGTCATTATGGACTCATAATTTTAAAATATATGTTTAATATGTGAATATATGTGAATTTGGACCACATACATGAAATTGAAACTTTTATATATTAAAAATACAACTTTGCAACATTTTTTCAGCTCTGTCCATGGAAAAGTCCAAGAAGAAACGATACTCAGGTAGCAAGGAACAAACCTAGAGCTCAGATCTTGGTTTCTAAATATCATTTCCCACTAAAAGGATCTAAGACCTTTTGGAGAAATGGCTGATTTCGGAGATGGTGCAAGAAAACAGAAAATGAACTTACAGCACTTGGTTCTCCCACCTGCCACATCTGGGATAGTTTTAGCATCAAAATAAATAAAGGCACTCATAGATGCAGACAACAGATTGGGGGCTGCCGGAAGCGAACATGAAATGGGTGAACGTGGCCCAAAGGTACAGTTATTCCAGTTGCCAAACAAATCCTGGGGACGAAACTAATGTGCAGCATGGTG